CAAAGACATACAATTGTCAATTATGTATACTTCCATCAAATGTAGCATCTCAGTGTAATCATGTTGCCCTTCATCACCATTAAGTGGAGGTTTCATTAGATTTTTTTACTAAAGACTAGTATTTTACTGAAAAAATGAACTACAGGAGCTTTGCCCCCATAACTCTAAATAGCCAAATAAATAACCAACATACATGAATAATGGGTATTAAAAGAATAAATATAATAACAATGTAAATAGTTTATATGTATTATTATGTGATTATTTTTTATTTTGAATTTATGCGCCTCCTAATTTCTTCAATTACCTCGTACAAATAACATATTTTTAATGTAAATTATTTATTTTACTATGATTTTTTATGAAAATATGCATCTTTTATTTATATTAACAAGTTAATTATTTTTACCATTATTTCTGCTGGAAAAGTTTAATAAGTTTTGATTAATAAATTGATAATATTAAAATTGTATGATTAACCAATGTATTTTTTAGCATGGAAGGTGGTGAATTATTTCAACGTATACAAGAACACAATGAGGGAGCTTTTACCGAAAGGGGCAAGTTTAATAAATTTATTATATTAATTAATATATTATTAATAATTTAATTCAGTTAGATACATTTTATACATGTAAAATGTAATAAATTAATTTTGTTATATGTAGAAGCTGCACATATTATGACAGCCATTTGTTCAGCAGTCAAGTATCTTCATGACCTTAATATTGCTCACCGTGACTTAAAACCTGAAAATCTCTTGTATTCTAAGCTTGGTAATTGACTTTAACTTAAGAAATCATATCTTAAATAAATATTAATATATTAGTTGTTAAAATTACATAAATAATTGTGTTCTTTAAAATGTTTCACAACAACAAACTATTATTTTAATATTTTAATTTAAATTGTCATTGATTTATTTCTGTATAGGTGCTAATGGCATTTTAAAATTAACTGATTTTGGATTTGCCAAGGAAGTATCACAAAAAGCTCCATTAAAAACACCTTGCTATACGCCATATTATGTTGGTTAGTTAAAAGCAACAGCTATTATGCAAAAATAATTGTCTCTATTAATGTACATGTATTTGTTACAGCACCGGAAGTTCTAGGTCCAGAAAAGTATGATAAAAGTTGTGATATATGGTCATTAGGAGTGATCATGTATATATTGTAAGTATGCATGTATGAATTCAATATTAAAAATACAAAATGATTTCTATAAAATAATAAACATAAAAATTGAATATTCGTGCAATTTAGCTTGATTAAAAAGACCCCACAGTAGGATTTATTTGTATGGCTCTATTAGTATCTCGCACACCTTGAGTATAAAAAAATATTATTCATTGTTACTAGTGATTACTTGGTTAAAAATATGAATTAAGATGGTTAGGTACTACTATTTTAAAGAACTTTTAGAATAATATATTTTGTGTTTTTGTATGAAGCTTTTATTATAAATATTTCAATTAGGKATACCAAAATTATTTTGATAAGTTTTTTTTAAATAATTATATTTATTTCAAAAATATATACTAATAAAACAACTAAAAAAATTCTTACAAAATACATAATATTATGTTCTTATAATTTTTTTTAAAATGTGTTTCTATACTTTAATGTGAATCATTTAGCGATAATATTTACATTTTAATGTAACACAGGGAAGACTTTTGGATAGTGACTCCCTGATTAATGTTACAGTTTACATATGTAATTTAATTTTCTTATATTTATCTACTTAATATTATTTCTGCCCCTTCCTTTATTAAATTTATAGGTTTAGTAGGTATTTGTTTTTAACACTATCTGTAAAGTGTTGCCCATTTTCAACTAATTTTTTTTTGTTCTAGATTGTGTGGATTTCCGCCTTTTTTTAGTAATCACGGGCAAGCTATTTCGCCTGGCATGAAAAATCGAATTAAAACTGGACAATTTGACTTTCCTAGTCCAGAATGGAATAATGTGTCTAGTGATGCTAAAACTTTAATTTCAAGTATGTTATCTGTTGATCCTTCAGTTCGTCTTACCATCAATGAAGTTGTGAAACATAAATGGATTGCAGTGAGTACTTAATATTTTAACTTAAATAATATTCTATACATTTGATATRTTTTAAAAATTTAGAGCTATACCGAAGTACCCCAAACACCATTATATACCGGAAAAATGTTGAAAGAGTCTGAAGATGTGTGGCCCGAAGTTCAAGAAGAAATGACCCGGTCTCTAGCTACAATGCGTGTGGATTATGATCAAGTCAATATAAAATCGTTAAATACTTCTAATAATTCATTATTAAACAAGCGACGAAAAAAAGCTTCTAACAGTGCATAGACTTTTTAATACTAMATTTATTTTCCAGATTATTCACTATAAACTGACCCTTTCCTTAATGCCCATATCTTAATAATTTTTGTTGGTTTTTAAATTATGTACTTTTTTCAAATTTGATTTTTGTACCACTGTTTATTTATAGTTAAAGTAATGCATGTAATAGTAAGTTAAAAAATAACAAAATAGCTCTTTCTTTATTGAACCTTGATAGAATTTTTTTAATTACGGAAAAATTAGTGCCATTTCATGAACATTTATTGAAATATTAGTTTATAAATTAATTAAATCTGCTATCAAKAATAGAAAGAAATGATTTTAAAAAGATTAAATTGCTTAATAATATAGGTAGCTTGCAAMATGTTTTATTAAATAAGATAAATTAAAAGACAAGAGTAAAAATAATTAATCAGATTTAAAAATCATTAACTTCCTATTTATAATTATTATATTTCTTATTTTAAGCTGTTGCAATATTTTTAATGCATAAAATTCAAACAGAAATATTAATGCATTTCTACAATATTTATTTATTTAAAAAACAATTAAAACATAAATGTATCTTTATTTATTTGAAATTGCTTAACTTATTATTGTTTATTAAAAGCTAAAATATTAATTTTGTTTAAATTATCTCAGTCATTTAAGACATTATATTTGGCGTGAAAATTATTGCAATTGTTGTCTACATCGTTTAGTATGATTTATTTTTGGAATTCAATTTATATTCAAAGTTTAACCAAGATTTCCTTTTAATACATAAAAAAGTTTTAAAGTAAATTATGTAAAAGTATTATTAAATGTAAACTATTACTAATATAATCTACTCGAACAAATTATAAATAAGTATATCTATAGACTATATTCAATTATTATGAAACCAAATTTGTGATTTGTGATGGTTTGTTATCATAATATAATAGACATATTAGTGTAACTAAATTWWAAAAAAAAACGTATGTATAGAAAGTCTATTATTGGTTGTGATGAAATATTATTTTAGAAATTGTGTTTTTCTATCCTTTTAGTTTTAATTTTTATATTCCTGATTCAAGTATATATATATTTCAAAATAGCATAGTATTATTTTGAAGTATTTAAAGATTGATATATTTTTTGTATTCGTATATTGTAAATTATAGTGTTTTAAGAGGATATTATACCTGCATGTATTGTTGAGATCAATCTTAATTCTATGTCAATTCCCGCTGTGATATTTGTTATATTAACAGTTAGATAGACAGAGCCAACATATTCGAGTATAATTTCCTCTTAAATTATACTATTTTTTGGAGTCATATTTGTATAATATTTACAAAACGAAATACCAGTATCGTTGATAATAGTCCATTTTATCAATAGATGATTTTAATTTTTAATATGATATAAATTTAAGTAACTCATTGAATTGTGAATGTAAACTAAACACCATATACACCATATATATTTTTATTTGTTTCATATTCTATTGACACTTAATGTTAAAATTGTAATTCAGAGGTATAATAATTATAAGCTATATTTCTATATTTATTTTAAAATATGAACCTGTATGACCACCTGTAGATTATACAAATGTATAAATATTTTTATACTGCTAAGGGCCAGTTGTACTGTCTCTGATTTAAGTTAACCGGAGTTTAATCGGCCGAATTTGCACGGCTAAATATCTGTCATCAGCTGATTAAGCGTAATCGAAGTTTAACCGTAGACAGTACAACTGGCCCTTAGATACTTATAKAAATTATAATTGATACTAATTTATTAGTGTAAGTACAAAACATATTATAAATTTAACAGTGTTAAGTTAAATTTACTAAAGTATATTGTAACTTAGTAATATTAGATAACACAGAAATAATTGAGAATACTTTGATACACTATTACTAGTTGAATGAAACTTGATTTAAATTA